TTATAGTAGTGTCACTCCTGATTGGCATTGCCGACGGATAGATATGAATATAAATGAAAGTAAAGTAAATTAAAATACGACACTACCGAATGGAATACAGCTTTAGAGTTCATTTTGAACCAGACTTGAAATCAAACAGAACAATCTTCCCAGAACATTACATAAACTTTCTTACAGTTCTACCGTCGCTTTACACTTACACCAGAATAACATCGACAAACAACGTATTATATAAAAAGCAACTGCTTCTAAATACTTTTAAATTAATTAAACTTGCAAGAAAAAATCTTTTATTAGTAACTTGCAAAAAATACTACCGACCATTTAAATACAATTTCTTCTTCTTCGTGTGCCATATCAAGTCACTTCGATGTCGGCGTACACACACCCGGCGCTTGTTAGTACAAATTAGTTTGCGCGCAAAGTAATGTCCTGGGGAAGTTGGTACCGCAGTGGTTCCCCCATTGAATTCTCTAAGTACGTTATCTTACGCGGAGAAGAAATGCTTACCAGAAGGTCTTTTAAGATTAAATTTGATTTCACACGTGACCCAAAATATGACATTTCCTTTTCCTTTCAACCACCAAAATTTAATAGCATCAATGTCTCTAACAGCAAAACTCACTGCGAAATTCAGAAATTATCGACAAAAGGAAATACAGTTATAAGATTCGAATATGGCGAAGAAAATCGTGACACCCCACACACACTAACATTATATATACAGAACAAACACCCAAACAAATCATTTCCGTTATAGACAAGTTTGTATGTCGTTCTCTTTTCAATTATTTTTAGGTTCAGAGACACGCACAATTAAGCATGCTCAATATTATCAAAATATAACAATTTTGTCCTCAAAATTTCGACTTTCAATTAAACAACTAAATTTATTAATAATTAAATTAAAATAAGCACAATTATAATGGTAAGTGAAATCTTTCATTCCGTCCGTATAATACATTTTTAATTTCCCAAACTGTTTTATTAAAAAATTCAAGAAATAACACGAAATTTTAATTTTAATTTTATATCGAAGATCGAATGCATATTATGAAAATTTTAACAGAATATTATAATGTATAACAATAATTTATATTATCGTGAATAGTTTTTATTTAAGTTTTTCAGTAATTATTAATTTTTGTTCAACGAATTATTTTAAAAGGATAGAAAACATCAATGCCCGACCTGCGACAATAAGCATCTTCGTAAATGCGATTTGATAAAACACATGCGAACTCATACGGGCGAAAGGCCGTTTAAATGCAATTTGTGCGGAAAAAGCTTTTTAAATAAACTCTTATCCAAAAAGCTTTTTCCGCACAAATTGCATTACTTTGTCACGTCATTTGAAAATACATTCGGATGAAAGACCGTTCAAGTGCAATCACAATGGCTGTAAAAAGAGCTTTAAACGGAAATACCATTTGAAACAACACACGTTTGCGTGTCATTCGAATGAAATTTTATCTAATGTAAATCACCAAAAGTTTCTATATTATTATTTCTATATTTCGATAGTTAAAGCGATTAAATTTATAAAATTAACAAACGAAACATCTTTTACATTACCCGATAAAATCATATCGGGTAATGTAAAGAATTTCACAAATAGTAATCAATAAATCTGCACTTATTTACAGAAACCAAGCGTAAAATAGTAAAAGTGATAAGCAATTTTAATGAATGTTATTAATGTTTAACATTCAGTAAAATCTTCCTTTTTTTATATTTTTTATATAATTTTATTCAAAAATCGTGAATTCATTAAATTTCCTTCCATTTTTCGAGTAAAATTATCTTTGGATTCCAATGAACGTTCAAGAATTGTTGCTTAATTGAAAATATCAATAATAAGAGAATTTGAACAAATAATTATTGAAGAATCTTGTCAGTTGCGTTTTTATAAAATAATTTTTTTAAACATTTTTTATTTACTTTAAACCAAACTTTACTGCTTAAAATTTTTAAACTATAAATCGTTAAAATGAACGATTCACAAACATTTATTTTTATAAATAAANATAATTACTCTTGACATTTTTTAATATTTACACTTTTACTAGCTTTGATTTTCGATTAAATTCACTGAATTTTGCAGGATTCGGTTTTTGAGGGGGGGAAAAAGGGCATAAATATACTACTTGGATTTCACCAAGGGCCCTGCATTTACTTATTTCGTATGGTAAACAAGTATATGTTATGCATTTTAAAATGCATAAAATCATATTTTATGATTCTATCATATAATTTATAATACATTTTAAAATGCACGCATGCATTTGAAATGCATTATGTATGCATTGATTTGTTTACCATACTATAGAATTTAGAGATGTTTAATGAAATTGTGATTTATTTCTTTTTAATAGAAAATAATAAGTGCCTCTACCTTCTGTACAACAATTACATAACATACCCAGCTAAAACTCATAAAACAAATTAAAATATAAATATAAATTTGTAAATAAACATTAAAGACAATAATTATAATAAAGTATTCTTTATAAATGATTTTAATCTGTGCAGATCTAGATATAAATTGTCCTTGAAATTTACAATTACTTCTTGGTGGCGACATGAAAATGATTGACTAGACTGCAATTTCGGTTCGTTTATTACATTTATTACCGCTAAATCGGTCCCCACTGTTTACAGAGCTATAAATAACTGTAGCAGGTGTTCAAACGGTCATTCAAGGACACTAGCTGCGAAAAGAATTGTGGCACACATTAACTGACGTGCGTTCTGCGTGCATCAGTTACAATTACAAACTATCAGGACATATAGAGCACACCTAGACGATGATGGCAAATGGTCTATCGTCTGACTACACGTGGGACCAATTGACAAGGTCGCGCCTTTTTTGTACCCTCTCTGCTAAAAGGCTAATACTTTACACTAATATTCACTTCTCGAGCAAAAATACGTTTAAAACTGACCTAGTCACCCAAACCCCACCACTCCCCCGCTGAGTCAGAAAGTAATTATAAACTTTCAACCCCAGGTCACAAGACACATGACTGCATGTAAACTGCACTGTCTGGTAGCGGGACAAAATTGGTACCAGGGCAAAGTTTTTGATATCTATTCTTTCTAGGTTATGTAAAAAAACATCTGTTTTTGTTATATACGTGTAAATATTCATAACTTATAACACATGAGAAATCAGTGTTGAAATTACGATTCTGAGTAAACAGTGAGGGCCTATTTAGCGGTAATATTACTATATACAGAAAGTTTAACAAGCGTGACACGCGCTCGCGGTAATAAGTGTGATAAACGAACCGAAATTGCAGTCTAGTCAATCATTTTCATATTTCCACCAAAAACGATTGAAAATGTCGAGGACAATTTATATCTAGATAAAAAATACTTTATTATAATTAATGTGTTTAATGTTTATTTACGAATTTATATTTATATTTAAATTTGTTCTATGAGTTTTAGCTGGGTATGTTATGTAATTGTTGTACAGAAGGGAGAAGCACTTATTATTTTCTATTAAAAAGAATAAATCACAATTTTATTAAACATCTATAAATTTTATAGTATGGTAAACAAATTAATGCATACATAATGCATTTCAAATGCATGCGTGCATTTTAAAATGTATTATAAATGATATGATAGAATCATAAAATATGATTTTATGCATTTTAAAATGCATAAAATCTTAAAATAATCATAAAATTTACTTGTTTACCATACGAAACAAGTACATGCAGTACCATTAGTGAAATCCATTAACTAGGAATGCATTCGTAATGAACATTAGCTTATAAAGCACGACAGAATTTAATAATCTTATGTAAGTAGTTACGAGTGGACGTTTTATAGTTTCATAGTTTAAGCCACTACTGCAAAATGAATTCGAATATCCAAGAGGAAATTTGCATGAGTTGTTTCTTGAGACCCTGTTGGACAACAGCCCTTATTTTCGGTGTCGATCTGTTCCGAATTTGTCCCTGTAAACAGCGAATATACTNGGCGGCCCCCATCGGCCACACAGATTGAGCGCGCCGCGCCACGCGGCCACCCCCCGCCGTTCAGGTGCAGCGGGCCCGTCGCACGGCCAATGGCCGGGCGCTCGTGGGTCACTTGATCTACTCCAGGCCCACCGAGGTTTCATAAGCCTTCAGGCCGCCTTCGGGCATTTTCGGCCGGTGTTTGTTACCGCATTAGTTAGGAGTACAAGTCAGTAAATATTCAGCATTTGTGATATTCCAGTAAATATTCGATATTTGGGTACTTATCGGTTAAGAGGAGGCCAGTTCAGTGGGGACGCACTTTCTAACCTAACCTATTCTAATAAATTAACATAATTATTACCAATTAATTACCGAAGGATACTTGTACGCGAACCCTGGATTATATGCGATTGTTCGAATAACATCGGGCGATCCCATCTTCGTCGTCGTCGACCTCCTGGACATAGCCGAGGAGGAGGAAGCGGCAGCGGTGACCGGCGGTCTTACCCCGGCCTCGCCTAAACAAGATCGGAAACGGGCCAGTCGTCGTCGGGTAGCGAGAAAAGGAGATTCTGCCGAAGTTGAGTGTATAATCTGTTTTGTTGGCCTTTTCCGACGTCAGTTACAATGTGTTAGAGATAGGGAAATATAAGCGCGCTCGGTATAGAGCGGCGGCGGCAAAGAAAGCGTTGCCTAATTAGCGGCATTTTTGGGGGCCTATATCTCGCGAAGGGTCGCCCGTACGGGCATGGTTCCTTTGACTTTTTTGTTCCTCTCGATATGCTCTACTGCTCTGTCAAAGTCCCAATTTGCTACATTTGTCCTAGAATTGTGCCTATAAACAATATTCACTAATTTTACATCTACAGACTAACCTCGTCCATCTTCAGTTTTTCGAACATCCAAAGAATTCAACGCCTTTTGCATTTAACACTTAGTCCAAGTGAATAGACACACATACGTACGGGCTTATCACACCAGTGAATGAGATTTATTTACAGATTCTTTAATGATTATTAACACCTTAATACAAAAACTGTACAATAAACTATGGCTCTTTAAACATGTACCTAATAAAAAACACAAAACGCATTTCTGACACATTGAATTGTCTCTCTTCAGTCGGTGATCATACATCAGTACCAATATGCATTATAAAATACATTAAAATTTCATATTTAAAATGGCTTTTTAATGTATTTTATGATTTATTTTATAATGTATATTGATGTACGAGCACCGACTGAAGAGAGACTATTTGTTGTGTCAGAAATGTGTTTTGTATTTTTTATTATGTAAATGTTTAAAGAGCCATAGTTTATTGTACAGTTTTTGTATTAAGGTGTTAATAATCATTAAAGAATTTGTATATAAATCTCATTCACTGGTGTGATAAGCCCATATGAATAAGTGTTATATTACTTTTTGCCTTTAATGCTATTTATTATTCCATTGCCTCTTGCATTATTGTCCTTACATAACAAGTCCTTAAATGAAAGAAAACTTCACGTGAACATTTAGAAATTAATGAAAAAAGTTTAATCGTTGTTCCCTTCGACTCACTTTTACCGGGAATTCTTTCGTTAATCGAAAGGTTTTCCTCTCGTCCACTTATATCGCTAGTCTCCGCCGCCATCTTGGATTTTCGTTACATCTTTAGAATTTGGAATTCCGAAGAATTATTTTTCACACTGACACCTTATATGCACCGAATTAATTTAATTTCAATAACACCAAAACAACCTTACCGGGCCACCAACTTTCGGCAGATCTTATGTCAATTCCGAATCTCAACATGGCGGTCGAATCACGACGACGTTCTTTTCCAACCGTCTTCTTCTAACTTTTTCTGTTCGATCCCGAACGAAGCCTTAAAAAGGCAATGTTAAAACAATAAAACAACAGAAAGTTAAACGATGGTCGACTTTCGAACAGTTTCGTATCTTGACTCTTCGTTCTCAGGCTGCGACTCTTCTTCCACAATTTTCTTTTCCCGCTCTCCTCTTCGCCCTCTTGCGGATGTTGTCTTTTTTAAAAAAATCTCGTCTTTACTTGTCGTGTAACTTATGAAGCGGAAACGAGGTTTTTCGGATAACATTCGGATAACTTAAAATTGATGGCTTATCCAAAAAATATTTGGATTCCAATGAATATTATAATAAATTGTCTTTTCTCTACTTTAATTCTGCACTTTGCAACGGTACTGACAATTGGAGCGTGGTCTTCAAACACAAGATCGTGTAGTGCAGCGGTCCCCAACCTTTTTATCGCCGCGGACCGATCAACGTTTGATATTTTACCGCGGCCCACTGAGGGGGGACGTTGATTGTTTATATTTTAGATTAATTTAATTTAATAATTTTAATTTAATTGTATTTAAACATGCCTTCAAAATAAAATACAGTTACACCAAAAAATTAATATAATGTGATTTAACATTTTAATTCACTAGAACGCTAAATCAATGGAAACCCCGAGCTTGTTTTATTGCAACGAGACGGTTCCATCTGGGGGTAATAGGAGACAATGACACCCGAAGTGTGTTTCTTATCACACTTCTTATCCACTTCTTGTCCAGTTTATTCCGTTGTTCCGTCGTCCATTAAAAGTCGCACAAACCCGAGAGAAATATACCATAGTAAATAAAATGGAAATACCAGTAATTTAATGTTCCTTGGGCGGCCCGGTACCGTTCCGCGGCCCGGGGTTTCGGAACCACTGGTGAAGTGAACGACGTGTTTACCTGCTTATGATCATTAAGCGCCACCGGAATTGATCACTCACAATTTTAGGATAAGCCACACCTGTTATCAAAGAGTTTTCGCTGGAGATTCTTAGCCGATCCGCCATTCTGCTATTGTCAACAAGCTATTAATTTAAATATATTAAACTAAATGGCCTGACTGACTGATTGATTCATCGTCGCCGAGAGCAAACCGTTGAACCTAAAGAACATTTAGGGTACATCACGAAAATGCGCAGTAAGTAGCGTGACAATGCGAGAAGCGCCCCCTATGCTTCCGAACCACGGAACCGAAGAGTCGACATCGCGTCGGCAAAGACGGCAATGACGAGTTTGTCAGGACTGACACTACTGTGTCTTTAAGGTAAACACAGAAACCTAAATGGCCGCAATTTCCGTCTTGTTTGCGCGAGCGGTCGCGTTCGTAGGCGCTTAGATCCTACACAAGAGATGGCTCGGATTGAGGAAATGCACCTAACACAAATTAAAGAATAACAATATCTGTTTATTAAGCTAATTACACAAAAGATTAATATTTAAAGTAAAGGTTGCGTTTACGATTTAACCGATTTAACAAATTCACGTTCTACGTTGAGAGAGAGAGAAAGCTTACATATAAGGTTCTACAGATACCTGTTAAGGAATCTGAGACGAATAGAAGGACTGTTGGTGTTCACTTAAATGGAGTTCTCTTGGATGGAAGGAGTTCATTTTCGAAGGAGTCAATTTAAAGGAGTTCTCTTTGAAGGAGTCACTGTAAAGGAGTTTACTTATTCAAGGTGTTCACTCTAGATGGAGGAGGATTATGGAGGTATCCGAACGAGAAGCAACTCGGGAAGGGTGAACTTCTGGCGACAACGAACTCTCGCGAACGAAGAACAAACGAACTCTCCCGGATGAACAAACGAACTCTCTCGGACAAACGAACGAACCCTTCGGGTCATCAGTCATTACTTTTTATTGGGGGTCCTCCCTCTTTTCTTCCTTGCTTTTTTTGGCAATGTTGCAGCGCCTATGTGCAATAACAGTATTTCTTTGCCAAGTTCCTGGTGACGTATTCGATGTCTCATCTTGAAAGGAGAGTGACTTCACAGAGGGATAAAATCACATCCTTTACACTTTTAACAATCGTGGGAAGAATTATAGCAAGTTTTAATTAATTGTTTAACCCGAAAAAATGTTGTTTTCTTTTCAAGTCCGATTCTTCACAGTGGGGATTTTTGGAAATTCTCCCGAGAAGGATGAGGGTGAGAATTAATATTTGCAATATTTAAAATACTTGCAACATTTTAGAAAAGCAAAACGAAATATTTTAAATAGTTGAAATAAATTTCTCTAATTAATTGATTTACGTAATTTCATCTATACTAATATTATAAAGAGGTAATGTTTGTAAGTAAGTAAGTAAGTTTGGATGTAGCGGGTGATCTCCGAAACTACTCATCCGATTTCAAAAATTCTTTCACCAATATTTAGAATGGAACCTCAGGGTGGACATAGGCTGTATATTATTCCGTTAAACATTCGTATAAATGAAAAGATATAATCTAGGTTAAGGCTTTTATGTCCAACAAATGGCGCTACGAGTACGACGCCCTAAGTTTGCTTTTCTGTGAGGCATTACGCTTTTCTGTAAGAATGAACTAAAGCGGATCATCTTCTATCTATCTATAAATAAAAATGTAATTTTCGTTTTTAACATTGAATTTTCTTACGGAATTTTACATTTTGCGATTTGTTATTTATTTTTATTTTATGCATATTAAAACTATTTGTAATTACAAGGCGATTTATCATTTTCATGTTTTTTCTGTTTAATAACATGAAATTCACTCGCAGAGAACACAACTTTTGAATGTTTCATTAGTATAGATAGATATTCATTAGATAGCGAAATTTTGTTTACATTACGAGAAATTTAAATTCGGTTCTACTGACTTAAAATAAAATCCCTTTCCTAATACGAGAAATCTCTGAAACACGTTAATTAATTATATTTTAATAATTTTTTATATTCTTCATTTGCAGATGGCCACAACTCTGCATTCCGTGTTTTCGGGATTATTAAAGTTGAAGAATGCATCCAGAATTCGCAGAAGCTGTCAGATTTTCACAAACATCTCTGATTCGAATGAAAACGGCTGAATTTTGTTTTCCGTATTCATTATAACGTGAAAAATAGGTTTTCTCAAATTTACGATTGCCGGTAATAAAATAAACGGTAATCAATAATAACTGAATGAGAATATCAGAATACATACTGATTTAATTCCTGGTTATAAAGACTCTTGTACTATAATTGATTTATGGTTCGGTCTAAGAATTATTAAGTTTATTTGATTCTTTGGTTAAAATTAACTTTATGTAAAGTAGTTTTAGTTATATTGAATCGAAGTGTTTCAAAAATCAGGTATTTGAGTTTGCCCAAGTTTCAGTAGTTTTATTTTTTGCGATGCAGTTTTATTAATGTGTAAAAACACGAAGAAAAATAGTAATTATTGCATATATACTAAGTAACGAATAAAATATCAAATAACTATCATCGGGTTACTGTTAATGAATATTTTGTGACAGTTCATAAGTTACAATAGTATATTATTTAAGACAGTTTGTATACACTTCTGAGGTGTTAACTTGGTATTTTTTTTATTTGACTGACTTGTATCATGTTGCTAATTTGACATCGGTGATCAGCTATAATCTGTAAAAAATTTACAGATTATAGCTGATAGGCTATAATCTGTAAATTTTAGCTACTTACTTGTAAACAGCTTTGTAAATTTTCTTCTTAATAAGTGGAATTTTCGCATCTTACTTGTAAACAGTTTGTAAATTTTATATACGTGCCAAGATAGGCACGTATATAAAATTATGTTATTAACAATGTATAAGTTGGAATTCACTATTAAAACAAAGAAATACAAATCCAACACCCATTTAATATTATTACAACGAAATGCAAGTTCAAAGACATATATACATGAATAACAAATGCAAACATGTTTTCATTTATCATCTGTTTNGCTATAGAAGTGCCGTGTTATACGGTGGTTGCCTGTAATTCGGATCTACTTTAATAAATTTAATATTAAATACTAATTTTTTGTTAGATATTGGATTTCATGAAAAGATTCGGCAAAGTGTCTTTGTGTCTGACGATAGGAGGCTTCTTTTGTGTCAACAAGAAGATCCCTGTAAAGGTAGGTTCATTGACACGGTGGCTTTGTATATCTTATAAGAATTAATTTTCAGACGATTGTCAAATAACTAGCGATTTAGTGTAGTTTATGCGCCCGGTGCGAGCTTCTGTATCTACGGCCCAAAACTATGACCCGAAATTTCGTCCAAGTCATTTCCGCGCCCCCTAGAGTCTGCGCCCTGTATCTCAGAACCTCTGGCACCACCCTGCTTACGGCACTGAGTGTTGTAATACAAAATTTCAGAATTAAGAAATAGAAACCTGCAATATATTGTTGAAATGCTTCACGATTCGGAAGTATGCGCATTGCAAATATGCTGAATACCGTGTAATGTTTACGTACGACAAGTTCATCGCTACCTAAAGAAAGTTCACCATCGAAGCATCGTAAAATTGCTTACTTCTTTAACTCTTATATTTATGGAAGATTTTGATTAAGTTTCATGCTGCAACTACCAGACGACACTTTTCTTAAATTAGTTTTTGTTCGCAGTTTATAGAGAAATTTCTTGTAATAAGCTAACAATTTTCATAATACAATGTTCCGTTTTAAATTTCAAATTTTCTTACGGAAGAAACATTTTGCGATTTGTTATTTATTTTTATTTTATGCATATTAAAACTATTTGTAATTACAAGGCGATTTATCATTTTCATGTTTTTTCTGTTTAATAACATGAAATTCACTCGCAGAGAACACAACTTTTGAATGTTTCATTAGTATAGATAGATATTCATTAGATAGCGAAATTTTGTTTACATTACGAGAAATTTAAATTCGGTTCTACTGACTTAAAATAAAATCCCTTTCCTAATACGAGAAATCTCTGAAACACGTTAATTAATTATATTTTAATAATTTTTTATATTCTTCATTTGCAGATGGCCACAACTCTGCATTCCGTGTTTTCGGGATTATTAAAGTTGAAGAATGCATCCAGAATTCGCAGAAGCTGTCAGATTTTCACAAACATCTCTGATTCGAATGAAAACGGCTGAATTTTGTTTTCCGTATTCATTATAACGTGAAAAATAGGTTTTCTCAAATTTACGATTGCCGGTAATAA